ATATTAATAGTTTAAAATTTTGTGAAAACTGTGTCATTGGAAAACAAAATAAACTACCATTTAAAACTAGTATCCATAAATCCACATCTACACTTGACTACCTACATGCTAATCTATGGGGACCAGCATCAGTTAGTACCTTAAGTGGATTCAAATTTTACCTATTGATTGTGGATGATTATTCAAGGAAAATCTGGACATTCCTTCTAAAAACCAAATCTGACACCTTTCAGACAAATAAAAGGATAAAAGCTCTCAGAAAAGATAATGGATTTGAATTCTGTAATATCGAATTCGATCTTTTTTGTAAAGAATCTAGTATTTTAAGACATAGAACCACTACCTATACCCCTCAGCAAAATGGTGTTGCTGAGAGGATGAACCGAACCTTTCTTAAAAAAGTCATATGCATGCTGCTGAGCTCCGGCCTTCCTAAGGTGTTTTGGGGTGAAGTCCTGAAGATTGCAACCTATCTGATAAATAGGATTCCATCAAGTGCCATTGACTTTAAAATCCTTGAAGCATTGTGGTCAGGAAAATATCCAGACTACTCCAAACTTAAAGTATTTGGCTGTGCTGCCTATTCTCACCAAAATGAAGAAAAATTAGAACCCAGATCCTTAAAATGTATTTTCTTAGGTTATGGTGAGGAATCAAAGGGGTATAGACTTTGGGTAAGGGAACAACATGGACTCAAAGTCATAATAAGTAGAAATGTTATCTTCAATGAAGATGTGTTCCCTTGTAATGATTTTAAAAATCAGGAACAATCTGAATCACGCTGATGAGCCAAATGATATTCTTGAGGTAGAGTCCTTACAATCTGAACTAGATCAACTACTATCTGAATCTGAAAATGAGAACCAAATCTTTGTTCCTTCAAATTATCAACTAATCAGAGATAGGACCATAAGAAATAGGATTCCTTCCACTAGAATCAATACTGATGAGTTTGTTACCTTCTATTCTGAAATGGAATCTATTAATTATAAACCAACAACCTTTGAAGAAGTTGCTAACTATAAAGAATCCAAGTTATGGTTGGAGGCTATGAAAGAAGAAATGAACTCTTTAACCAAAAACAAAACCTGGATTTTGGTTAATAAACCTAAAGATCAAAGGGTTGTTGATTGTAAGTAGATTTATAAAATAAAAGAAGGAGATCCCACAATTGGGGGAAAGAGATACAAAGCTAGATTAGTAGCCAAGGGGTTTACACAGAGGGAAAGAATAGATTATAATAAAATCTTTTCACCTGTTGCAAAATATGCTTCTATTAGAATATTGCTTGCCTTGTCTGCTCATTTTAACTGGAAATTAGATCTACTTGATGTCAAAACTACCTTCCTAAATGGAGATCTTGATGAAACAATTTATATGAGTCAACCAAAATGTTTTGAACAGAATACCAAACCTGAAAAAGTTTGTTTTTTTGAAAAAATCACTTTATGGTCTAAAACAAGCACCTAGGCAATGGTATAAGAAATTTAACTCATATGTTCAAAACTTAGGCTTTTCTAAAAGCAATTTTGACTCATGTTTGTATTCTAAAGGCTCTGGTGGGCCTAATTCTGTCTTTTTGCTTTTATATGTTGATGATATGCTTCTAGCTTCTCACAACAAATCTGAAGTTGATTTAGTTAAATCAAAACTTATGGTAGAATTTGAAATGAAAGACTTAGGTCAAGCAAAAAGAATCTTAGGAATGGAGATAACGAGAGACGAAAACAATTGTATGCTCTATGTTAACCAAACTGCCTATGTGAAAAAGATTCTTGAAAAAATTTTCATGTCTGAATGTAAACCCTGTATCCTTACCTATTACAAACCACTTTAAGTTGTCAAATGAACAATCCCCTAAAACTGATGAAGAATTTGATAGGATGAAGAAAGTACCCTATGCTAATGCTGTAAGTTTAATTATGTATCTCATGATATGTACCAGACCTGATCTGGCACATGGAATCAGTATATTGAGTAGAGATATGGCCAATCCTGTTGAAACTCATTGGCTTGCTATAAAATGGATGTTTAGATATTTAAAGGGATCAATTGATTTAGGTCTAAAATTTAGACATTGTAATGAAGGGGCAATTTTGAAGGGCTATTGTGATTCTGATTTTGTAGGAGACTTGATAAAAAGAGATCTACTTCTTCTTATGTCTTTACTTTGTGTAATGGTTGTGTAAGCTTGAAATCCCAATTACGAAACTTGTTGCCCTGTCTTCAGTAGAGGCTAAATATACAGCAGCCTGTGATGCTGTAAAAGAAGGATTGAGGTTGAAAGGTCTATTAACAGAAATTGGTTTCAAAAATGAATCTGTTAATGTGTTTACAGCTAATCAAAATGCTATACACTTGAGCAAAAATCCTGTGTATCATGATAGAACCAAACATATTGATATTAAATTTCATTTTGTGAGAGATATGGTTGAATCAGGAATAATAAAATTGATTAAGATTCCTACGGATTATAATCCATCTGACGTTGGCACAAAAATCCTGCCTTTAAACAAGTTTAGAAATTGCCTAACAATTCTAAATATTGTTTAAAGACTGTGAGAATTATGATCATTATCTCTCCTGTTTGTGTTCTAATTTTTTTTTTATTTTGCAGGTACTTTTAGAGCAAATGAAACATGTTAGTTGTGTTTGATTCCACTAGAATGATTTAATGAATAGTTCAGCAAGGTGGAGATTGTTGGACATGGGCTGGTGCTTCACCATTAATTGGACTCCAACAAATGTTGATAGGCTGGACATTCATTTGGGCCTCAAAGTTAACCCGTTTTAAAGGACCCAAGATAAAAATGTGTTTTGGTTAACATGATTATGACCTCTTATTTCTGATTAAACCTTGGACCGTTCATCAGACTTATTCCCAGTCGTTGGATCAGTTTGATTTTTGATAAAATATAAATAGCTGCCTCTCTCTCACTTCATGACGATTGAGTTGTTATTTTCTCTGGAAGCGTCTAGGGTTCTTCCGATTTTGAGGGTTTTCTTCAATCTGTATTCTTTGTGTTTTTTTCTCTGAAAGTCTCTGTGTGAAGATTAAAAGATTGTATTTGTGAGCAATCTTTGAGAGAACAGATTGTGAGTTCACTGTTGTTGTACTTTGAAAGAGAGGCGAGAGAAAAATTGAAGGGACTTGATTTTCCTTCATACATTTGTACCGTTCTTGAGAAATTTCTTAGTAGAATCGAGCAATATCTACTCGTAGATGCTCAACGGGTGAGTAGGCTTTAAGCTGAACATCCGGGCCTTCGTGGCGAAAAATTTTCTGTGTTTGTCTTTATTTTCAGCTATTTTGTTTTAAATCGTTTAATATTTTGTTTTAAATTGTTTAAATCGTTTAATATTCGATTCTGGGTCACACAAAAGTTATATGTCACAATTTATTAAAAAGACACAAATTATTAATTTTTTAGATCACACATTATTTTTTTATCACTATTTATATTTGTCATTGGTTACATATTGTTTATTGGTCACAGATTAACCAATTTACTGGTTACAATCAACCAAATAATCTGGGACCATCACCAAATAACTACTACCTCCAACAGCACCTCTGCCACTGCCACGGCCACGCCCACCATCACCGCCAGAACCACCACCATCACCCGACAACAACACCACTATCTAAAACAAAATCAACACATCCACCTCGACAGACCACGGCTATCAACATCTCACCATCACCACCGCATCTACTGCCACGACCATCGCAGTCTACCGCCAACCTCAAAACATGAAAGCCGCCACCACCACACTCTTAACAACCAAAGCCACCACAGTTACTACACCACACCCGCTAGATCCACCACGCACTACTAGTCACCACAGCCACCATGTTGCCATCATCTCCGCCATTATTGCAACACCACCATCACCACACCGTACCAGAAAACACCACCATACATACCACCACAAATAGCACACTAGATTATCGCTTGTATCAGCCTAGATCCACAGCACCACATCACCATCGTCGACCGCCACCACTACCATCAACACCTTACTAGCACCAACAACAAAAAAACCCCAAACGTGCAGATCCAAAAGAAAGAGAGCAGCAGCGCGAATGTCGACTCCCCACCCTTGTACCGACGCATCTCCTTCGTCACCGGTTGCAGCCGCCACCAACACGCATCGTTGCGAGGTTTTCCCGGCACCGATAGAGAGAATGTAGAGAGAAACGGTGTAGAGAGAGAAATTGGGTTGGGAGGGGG